GCGTCAGCCAAAATCCTAGCCAGATAAGGGAACGAATATCATTGACATTGAGTGTGTCATTTTTAATAATTGTCAATCCTTTAGTTTCTATATTTGAGTTTCTCATTGATGAGAATTCATGGATTTAAAGAGGTTAATGATATTCGATATAGGAAATAGGAAAGAAAGAAAGAGTACGATTCGTTCAGGATCTGCTAATGAACTTATTTACATTACATTGCAATGTTACCTGGTAGATCTTCGTCTTACTTGTTGATTAACAGTATAGTTGTTGAAAAAGATTACAGAGGTCATAAAATTTGTCTTGGAGTTGATATAATAAGAATTTATTGAGATTTAGAATCATATGATATTAATTCAGAGTTTTCTTCCTTTGTAGCATAGTATAATGTGCAAGATTAAAAACAGATTCATGGTAGATTATTGAAATAAGAAAGACTGTCATTCTTTTCTTGAAGAATATTTTTTATGTATATATATTTATTTTATTAAGGATATTTTTTAAGAGTTAGAAGAATATTGTTTGTTTTAATTAATGATCATTAGTTGTTTATCGTTCAAACAAGACTAAGGACGTTGCGCTGTAATTCTCTGTTTTATGTACATCATGTAGAAGTTTTTTTTAAATACATGTTTTTATGCATGAGATATCAAGATTTAATTTACGACTTCATTATATCGTCTGCACTAATTACATTAAAGAAAAAGAGGATTTGATGTAGTGTAAATGTATTCTTTGAACGACAAGTGTAGAAAGGCTGTTTCATTAATTAATGAATTTCATTTTTCTATTATGTAAAACAAATGTTTCATCTGCAAATATTACGAATAATCAGATATCTCATTCATGGATGTATAAGAATTAACGGTCTATTAATCGTATTATAGAATACGTTGTTGCGAAAGAAAATTTCTATATTGCATTCCTCTCTCTCACGTGAAATCACATTCAGTTTGAAATATTGAAAAAGAGGCACGCAAGATATCTCGTTCATGAGATGCGAAGGGGTTAATGATGATCACGTTTCGACGGTTAGTAGGTCGCCAAGTACTTAGTCAATGCGAAAGTAATGCCAATGATGTACACCACCAGCAAATTCCCTTCTTTCCTGGCACCATCCAACCCCCTCCGAGTTCGTTGCGGGGTCACGTCCTGCTACACGTTTCCCCTCGTCCGGCGTGAATTGTTCCTTCTGTTCACTCAGTGGACGAGTGTCAGTGGAAAACGAGCAGAGGAGGGTTGCTGATTTTTAAAAGCTCCGGCTAGAGTTTGCTTTTGGGTTCGAGTCGAGTCAGCACTGGGAATTCAACTCTGGGCAGCTTTCGTTTCGAGAGAGTTGCTGTAATGGAACGTTAACGAAGGCACTTTATTGTAAATTAACCGGAGAGAGTTCAGGCCGAAGGTGAGATCAGGATCCCAGTATGAGATTT